TATATATATATATATGTATATATATATATATGTATATATATATATATATGTATATGTATATATATGTATATATATATATATGTATATATATATATATGTATATATATATATATGTATACATATATATATGTATATATATATATATGTATATATATATATATATATATATATGTATATGCTTTACAGTATTTAATATACATTATACCATAACATTTTGAAGTGGCCAGACTGACTCTTAGATTCATACTTGTTGCTTCATACTGATCTAAATCGACCTTTGTGCTTTATTTGTAAATCATTTCTAAGTTAAAATTTACAGAAATGCCTGATTGGTCTTTCAGGTGTAGCAGCAGTTTAGCTAGAAATGTGAATTATGTTTTAACCCGTGCCAACATTTCACAGCAGATCACAAAGTTTTGGAAGAAGTTGTACACGGAGTCAGGTGCTGCTGCTCAGGGAGATCATACAATAATAACAAAATCACCTGTCTTGAGAAATGAATGAAACTTAAACTCTCCCTGTCTCTCTATCTTTTTTTCGGTGTGTGTGTGTGTGTGTGCACACGTGTGCAGATGGTGTGGTGAAGGGACCTCAGTTCATTCACACAGGCAATCTAGGAGTTATCAGCTCCAAGGACAAGTAAACAAAAGCCCCCCTGCCTGTCCGGGGACATTTTATCAAGCCCTGCTAACTGCGATCTGGTCACAAACAAACCAGGAGCCAACTCTTCTTTAGATTCACCTTTTAAAACATTCCACCATTTTGAAATGTGCAAATGGGAGCGCATCTTGATATAGCTGTTAATAGAATGACTCATATGAAAAAGCACAAACACATTTCTTTGATTTTCTGTAAAAGATAAGAGTCTTTTACAGTCTGTCAGTCTCCCACCGGCCTCTTTGTGTTACGTCACAGCACTGACCTTAATGAAACCCTCAATCACAATCGTCATTTTGCCTTTAAAGAGTGACGGTAAGATCAGACACTACATTAACTATGTTCACAGTAATACAGTATATTTATTAATAGAATTAAAGTTGGCAAAAGACATTCTTACTTTACATAATTTCAAACACCACGTGTTTTGATGGGAATAGTTTATGATTGACAACTTCCAAGGTGCAGGAAAACTGAGCAGCATGACAAATACAGTCTGACCTCTAGTTAAAGAGATGCTATTTCATAATGTGCATTAGGTTTTATTATGAAACGGATCCTTGGGGACAGTACATCACTACTAATAGTGTATCCATTAACTGTTTTAGATCCATTAACTATTAACTACCAAGAATTTGGACATTTGCTATTTGAGATGTTTCAAGTGGACAGAGTGAGGATTTACCTGGAAGCGTGTTGACTTGACTTTTATTTTATGAGTGTCTAATTTTACTCCAACCATCTGCTTGCTGGTTGTGAAACTTGCTGACTTTTTGGCCCCATCATCTCCTCCAAACTCCATATCTTATTACATAGATTCTCCAGTTTGTTCTCCTGTCAGGAACCATGACATTCAGCTCACGGTGACTTACAGTGAAACCTTTGATATTAAAGGCCCTGTTGCCTCACCGGGGCAGGTTTTTTTGGGTCTCCCCCTCCTCCACCCCTCACCCCTCTACCTCTGGTCAGGGTCGATCAATACTTCCCCTGTAGCTTATCACTAATGTGGAACTGGCTGTTTGTCCAAACCTTGCTCTGTCTACATAAAGACTTGGAACGGGACAGCATCGAACCCAAATGCATGACATATCACCTCATGGACCTGCAGCTCCGTACGCATGACTGGACTTTTAACTGTTTGGAAAGACAAAAAGACAAGCTGGTGCGAGAGGGAAGGAGCAGAGAAGAGAGAGTAGCTGTGAGAATCAGGAGCAGGAGAGGAATGAGATCTAGAGACTTGAGGTGAGTTGGTTGTTTTCCTGCAATAGGTCTAAATTCTTAAATAATGTTTTTATCTCGCAGCTTTATTAGTAAAGTTTGAACTATGAAAAATTTAACAATTAATGTCATTTTCAGCTGGGAAATGTTATGTACAGCAAGACTTTTTATATAACTTTTTTTCCAATATAACTTGACCGAGCAGTGCAAGTCACTGTAACAATAAATATCCATTGAATCTGTACAGTCTGAACCAACTCTATTGTTCAAGTTCACAAAAATGTTTTTTTATATAATTAGACATGTGGATTTTTTTACTCTCTCTCACACACTCACACACTTTAAATGCACACAGCTGCAGTCATCCCCACAATCAGTAAAAACACACATGGGCTTGGGACACTTTGGATTAGCCTTGTGTGTTTACTCAGCATTATTTCCCCAATTTTCTTTTGTTTTTCGACATGTTTTTCATTCATATTTCATCACAGCAAAATAGAAGTGCTACACAGATTAAATCATAGTTTATAGTGGGATTTCAGCCTGATTAGAGTTTTTCCACAGGCCGACACACCAACATCATGAGTACTTTAACATTATCTTTGTTTATTTCCTCACTTCCACTCTCTAATGCTCTCCATTGATTCCACACGTCACAAAACTTTCCCCTTTCTTCACCAGGTCGTCCATCTACCAGTTTGTATCAACAGCCTCTCCATCTGCAGTATCTACAGTAAATGTTGTCCTCCAGAGCTGTGGAGTGTGACAATGGTGTTTGTGTCCTGTGTATCAAACGCCATTATCACACTAAATAGCTACAGTGTGAAACGGGCCTCAATATCTTCCTGGTTTTCGTTGTCTTCTTGTGTTTTGTTCTGTATTATCTTAATTTTCTTTTTGAAGTATTTGTAATAGTTTCCTTGTTCATTCTGTAAAGCCTAAAATCATGTTAAGGACAGATTAAACCACGCAGGAGGGGCAGAGATGAAAATAGATGTGTGTTGATACATAACATATGATCTTGAGCCTCTGACCCACTTACTTTCGTGTTTGAGGTGGTAATTTGCTGCTGGAGACCTTCAGTATAAATAAAGATAGACGGCCCATTTGTTTTCAATGCTGCCGCCATTTCTTGCTTCTCTTCTTCTTCTTTCCAACATGTAAACAGTTCATCTTTTATGATTTCACAGTTGTCTTCATCCATAAAAATAATGTAAATAAAGTGTTTGTTTTTGTTATTGCTATAGAGTGAAATATAAGAATTCAATAAGACACGATATGTAAACACCTTCAAACCCGACCGCATGTCCAGAGCAGGCAGACATTTGCATATTCACATCGACACATCCCTCAAACCTGTAGGTCAGAGGTCGTATTACAGGAAATGTGAGTTGATTTAACTTCATTACAAATAAATCAGAATGCATCTTAAACCAGTAACAACTCTTTAATAACAAAGATCTACTGTGTGCTGCTTACACACTAGCCATAGCCACAGCCTGAGGTCAGGGATTTAAAAAGCACAGAGATGGTTATTAAATAAAGACCGTTTGAAGCTGCCGATGAATAGCTGGTATGTTACTGGGATCATGTGTATGTAAGTAGATTCTGGGTGTCAGGTTTGTGTTTAGTTGTACATGTCTCTCACTTAGTTTGAGCTGAACAGTATAGATCCTTGAAATCAATATTTACAAGCAGTATTGCACCAGACAATAAAATGATAAATCAATAAATCTTCACATTTTTCAGTGAATACATTCAAATGCATAGTTTACACAAGCTTTATGTGTACGAAGTGTCTTTGTGTTGTTTCCGGAATATAAATATAAGCTTATCTTGAATCAGCAGCTTTTGCTAAATGAACAAACATTGTAATAGTGTAACATTAAAATAAATACTTTTGTCGCCTCACAAGTCAAACACACAAGAATGACTCATGCTCATACTGAACCCAATACGACACATGTCCTCTACTGTGGGTATTTTATCATACAAAATAATTTAAAGACATTTCCGCTAGTCAATTAGTTAACAAGTTCATTAATTTAATGAATTAATTGTTTGAAAACATCACCAAAGTAGAAAAACAAGAATTTATCTGTAAAGAAAAGTCGTCACGCCTCATCAATAAAGCAATCTCTAAGACGTCACAGTTCAACACTGTCCACAAACTCACCATTAACATCATCGCTTTCAAGTGTTTGTTAAATATGTCACAGTTTTCCAAAAATTCGTAAAATAAAGTGTCGATTATAGATACACTCTCATACAGAAAGCATGTCATTGAAATAAAATATACATTTCTCAAATGTTCAACATGAAATGAAGCAAAAACTCTTATGAAGCAACAGTCGCTCGTTAACAATCGCTTTTTTCAGAGTCAAATATATCTTTCCTCTCCATCATCTGTCCTTCTACAGCCCAAAACATTGGACACCTTTCTCACGGGCCAAACTCTGCATGACAAGGTTCAACAAAAGTGAATCAAATCACCTAAAACCCTCACTAAAAATGAAACCCCAAAGTCCAAGATTCTTCTCTTTTTATGACTTGCCCTTCACTGTTGGCCCAAATATTTTCTTCTTGGGTGCAGCGAAGGGTTGTGGTTTGGGTTTCGGAGCAGAAACAGGTTTTTTCGGTTTGGGCTGCAGGGATTTGAGGTCCAGGATCTCACAGTACATGTTGCACTGGTGCAACGCTTTGAACTGGTCAATGAAGGAGGTGGCACAGTTTCCTTTGAATCCCTTGTATCTAAAAATGAAATACATTATGAATGCATCATTTTGCATGTATCAACAAATTTGCATCTCTTATGTGTGTCAAAAAAGAAAGAAAATACGCACCCTTTCCTACAGGTGGCTATTCCCACATCAGTAAGCCTCATTCCTACTCCTGAAAACCACAAAAAAACAGCAATTGAAAGCACAATAATTTGCAGATTTTTAACTTACACACTTTTCAAAATATAGTGTTTTCTCCTAACCTTGCATGTCAGTAACCAGCAGGTTGCCCTCGGTCTTATGATAGACCCAGTGCTGGAAAGCACAGCATTTCTGTCCCGCCTCCGAGTCGTGTCTCATCAGGTTGATCTCTTTGCCGTCCTTCACCGAATACTTGACAAAGTCTCCAATCAGCTCCTCCTCCAGCGTGGCATACGGGACGTCATTGGATGGACGGTGAACCAAGTAGATGGGAATGATCCTGGTGGAAGCACGAAACAAAAGGCCTCGAGCTTTGAGTATCTCACATGATTCTGAAATACTGTAAAGGCAGAGAGTTGTGTTGTTTACAACTTGTCATGTGTTTTCACTCACTCTGGGATCTCTCCGAAGGCTTCAACAGACTGGGCTGCAGTGCTGTACTCCTTGATGTACTCTCTTGCTGTGTTCTGGACATGGCACTCCTGCAGAACAAAAAATCAATTACATTACATTTACTTTCTGTATTAGGAGATCTCTGCACGCGATAATATGTCATCTAAGCCGGCAATGCTTTTGAGGGCTACAAATAAAAGACATCTCATAAAAGCTTTGATCAAATATTGTGTTTGCTGTATTTTTGTTAAAGTTTAAATAACGCTCTTACCTCTACAGCCAAGCTGAAGTTCTTCTGAATGAGCTCATCGTTGTTCTTTGTCCCGTAGCTGATGGAGTTGTGTACTTTGAGCACACAGGAGTGTCCAGGTAGTAACAGCAGTATCGGACCCGCCTGCATCTTGGTGCGGAAAGCCCGCCGGTGCATCCCCTCCCCAAAATGGACCTTCTCAGTGATGATGCTGGCAGGTTGGTTCTCTCCAAATTGCTGGTTGGATAGGAAATCCTCCTTGAACATCAGCTTGGAACAGTGGACGTCCTCTTCTTCACTCCCAACTTCTACAGGGCCTGCTGGAGATTTGAGTAAAAAGTGATCCGTCAAAATCCAAAACAAGCTTTAACTGTGTAAAGTTATGAACCTCGTTCAAAACTAGATCAAAACTTACACGCAGTTGTCTTCGGAGAAGGAGGGATAACAATCTCACTGAGAACTGTTAAATAGTCAAAAAGAAGAAATGTGTCACATTTTTTTAAAACTACATTTAGATAGTTGTTGAAGTTAAACCATGATTTATATACCTTCATATGTGAGCAGGTAGTCCAGGGTGACTGATCCATGTAAACTGGTGAGCTGACACTGGTACTTGCCCAAGTCTTTGTGAGAAGCAATGGAGATGGTCAGTGAGACTCTGCTCTCATCCCCTGCACTTCGGAAAGAGGTACAGTGTCACAAAATGGTGTTCGATCTGAAAGTTTGATTCACTGTGACATTTAATTATACACATTATGGCAATCCAGGATCCGTCCTATGCCTTTGGTCAAAATAGAGAGTTAAACGTTTGATAGTCTGGCTCTGTATCTGTCCAGCGCCCTCGTGCCTTTTTGAAAGACTTTCTAGGATTATAATCTTTTAGTGGCCTTTATTAGTCTATTATCTGTCTAAAAGTTTTCTTTTCTGGCTTTGGGGTTTTGTGTTTTTTTGTGTTTTTTTCTTGTTTCCTGTTCTTTATCTTATTGATTAACTCCTCGTGTGTCATGTTTTGTTTTACTTCCTGTCTTTGTGTGTTTTCCTGCCTTCGTGATTGTTTTCCCCACCCTGATTTGTTCCACCTGTGTCCAGTCACCTGCTCCCCTTCTGGATTTAGTCTGTGTATTTCCTCTGCTTCACTGTCAGTTTGTCGTCTGTCCATGTGATAAGCCAGTTCCAGTGTTTTAGTATCCCTGGTTTGTTTTTTGGATATGCCTCTGTTGTCTGCCTGTCCTGTAAGTTTATTCTTTTGTCATAAAATCATTAAACACCACCTGTTGCTTTGTCATCAGCATTTGTGACAAAAAGTAGTAGATAAACAATTGAAAGTAGCTTCGCTAAAAGTAGTTAATGAATATCTTTTTTTTAAATAATTAGCTAAAAGTAATCGCTGAACAGTTGAAATGTTAAGCTAAAAGTAGGTTAATGGATAAATGATTGTCCAGCTAAACAACTAGTTCATCTGTTTGGTAAATCACTGGTGCGTATGGAAGACTGGTCGGTATGAGGCGTGAAGCTGAGTTATATGAAAGTATAGTGTAAAGACGAAGGTAACTTTGCACAAAATACATTGTAAAAATCCTGTAAAATGAAATTAAATACCTTCTCTTGCTCTCAGACAGGACAGTGCCCCCTCTGCTCCAGGTGATGGTGTATTGGGAGGAGATGGCCGCAAACTGACACCACAGGCACAGACTCTGAGGATCCCCACTCACTGAAACCGCCTGGATAGGCTGCACCACCTTGGGTTCTGCCGACATTGTCATACGCTGTTATTATGAGTCGTTTACATACCACCCTGCAGAAGAACAGCTGGACATTTTTTGTTTATAATCTGTCATAGATTACGAGTTTAATGCATATCCCTTACCTTCCTTTGGTGGGATTTTCTGTTTGACCACTTCACTGTAGGCCTTCTTGAGGGTTGCCCCGTTATAGACTTTGGGCTCCTCTCCCTTTGTCTGGATAGAAACGTCTGGCTTTGGCAGTTTAGTCTCCAATACACTGACAATCTTCCCAAACTTATTCTCTGACAGCCGTCGTCTTTTAATAATATCATCGTTCAAAGGACTGGTGAAGTTTTTAGGTTGGTGGTCTTTATGATCTGCACGATGTGGGGGTTGTTCTCCCTGGGATGCTTTAGCTTTAGCCTCTGGTTTCTGTGACTTTTTCTCATCTGACTGATCACTGTCCTTTTGAGCTTTCCCAGCTTTAGCGCCCAGATTGGCCTCAAACATGTCAATCCTTCCTTTTGCAGTCTTTGCTTTTGCTCCGTTCTCCACTTCCACCAGTGGCTCCCCAACACTTTTCACTCCTGTTGCATTCGGAGTGTGTTTCTTTTTCTTCTTGCCATGTGTCTTGCTCGGAGCCTTCTCATTTGCCACACCAGTCTCAATCACCAATTTAGCCTCGTTGACCTCAAGCCCGACTTGAGTGTTCTCGCTGGTGTGATTTTCCCCAGCGAGAGGATGAGTTTCTTGCTGTTTGCAGACCTGCTGGGCTGAAACATGATGAGACAAAGTCTCCTGTTTTTTGCAAGCTTGTATACCATGCTGTTGACCAGCTGTTTTGTCCTTTTTAGAGCGTGCTTTGCTCTCTGAGGTGGATTTGTGTGTTTTGTGCGGCATCTTTTCAGCTCTTTTCTGATTCAGCTCAGATTGTATGCCTGTGGCGATGGGTTTTGCAGCCCTGGAGGCAAATGGGTCATTTAAATCTAAAACGATGACTGCAACGCGGTGGCTCTCCGAGACGATGAAATGATCTGCAGGGACATCGGCCAAGTTTGATAGTTCTCTGCTGAGGTCATGAATCTCCTCAATTGTTGTCTTTCTTGCAGTGATCCAGTCCAGTTGTCTCTCTGGTGAAGACTTCTCAGCAGACTTTATTGTATTTCCCTTTTTATGAATCAACTCATCACCTTCCAAAGATTTTATGTCAGTAATCCCCTCCGCGGTTGGCCATAGATCGCAGGTTTGTATGTGATCACAACTGGGGTCTCTGTTGTCATTGAGAGACCTTTTGACACATGTTTGATCTCCTTCCAAACTTCTGCTTGTCCGACAGACGAGGGAGCTCAGGGCTATAATACCGAGAGGGGCTAAGGGCATAATAAACTTAGGACCTCCCCACTGTGGCTCCACCTGACATGCTCTGTCAAGGTCTAGTAAAGTGTCAGACGACACTTGTGTTTGAACATTAATATGTAAGCCAGGTTGCGTGTGCACACCTGGCACGTGTGAGTTTGTCAGAGCGTGTGTGGTGTGAAAATGAAGATCCGTTGGAGGTTCAGTTCCTTCACGATTGAGCTCAGCTGGCCCACGGCTCCTTTTGACTTCCCGCTCAGTCAACCAGCGCAGCTGGGAGACACTGTGTTCTTTTGTCACTTCACACACTTCATCTCCAAAGGGCTGGAAATGAAAATGGACAAATAACAATGAAGATGTGAGATGGTTTTACATTGCTGAGACTGAGATATTCATTCAAACCACATACGCTTAAATAGAAGACTGCCAGATAGTGTAATAATAAGTAATATGACCACATGTAGTAATACTGTTAAAGTGCTGACATCAATAGACTTAAACAGGTAATTCTTTTAAAGGCAGATACTGCAGACAGTACATTACAAAAACACAACATTCAGATTGGTTCAAAACATACCTTTCTATAGAGCCGCAAAGCAGACGTTTATGAAACCCCATGCTTCTATATCCAATGCCACAGTCCATATGTCCTGAATGCAACTGAAACCTACACAGTCGCTGTTATAGACAGGAGCTCCAGCTATGCCCTGCGCACCTTAGCCAATCAAAAGCAGTCTCCTAGACCCACGGACCTGTTGGTGTCCTGATCCTGGGTTTTTAAAGGAGATGTGGTGGGAATCGGTGTGTTAAAGGGTGTATACGTAAAGAGAGAGCGAGAGAAAGCGAGGGAGGGTCATGTTTCATTCCTCAGCTGTGCTCTCCTCTCACCTCTCCCCCCTGACACGCCAGGGATGCATGCTATTATCATTGAACTGCCCGCTATTATTAGATGCCATTTCTGTCCATCTGAAGTTTTCCTTCAGCACACACAGTTGTCGGTCTTTGAGATGGGAGCCAAAGGACTTATCCAATAATACAGAATCAAGACTGGGTCAGAGACCTTCACGGGTGCAAAATGAGTGGCTCCGATCCAAAGTAAGGCGACAATACTTGTGAGTCTCATACGTGGCTTTCTCTCTCAAGTACCTGCTGGCCGTCCATCAATACTGTAGGTATGACAACACTGACAAGGGCAGGAGCGGGAATGTCTCTTAATGTTCTGGCCATGTTTCCAAAGCTCATGACTGATTTATCTGTTGGCCAGCTCGACTGATGTGAAGGTGATTGCTTGTTATTCTCTCTAGCATAAAGGGGGAATCTTTCCACAGCTCAATCTGTCCGTCTGCCACATACTTGAGAGTGTGTGGAGATGCTCATGTCTGTGTCTGAGCCGACACACAAGAAAACAAACCTACCGTCCCCAAGCACTCATATTTCATGCTTTTCACATAAAGCAGAGCGCAAGTTTTCCACCCGTCACTTATTTAATTGAATCCGATTATGACTATATATTTATACAGTATATAAGTAAGTCATCTTACCTTCTCAATCATCAGCTCTCCGGGTGTATTTTGTGCCTCCAAATCTGTATCCTCTACTATATTCAGTATGATTAGATCTTCTTCATTGTCTGACTCGACAAAACCCTCAAAGTGAGAAGGGTTCGGATCAGCAGAAGAAGTAGATCCAGGGAACACATCTCCACCGTGTCCTCCAGGAGAGGCCACTGTATCCCCGGATGATCCCATGGATGAGTGTTGGCGTGGGGAGCACTCAGTCTGGCTGCTCTGGATTTCTTCCGACTCCTTTTCTTCTTGTGCGGTAGCTGTTGAATCGCACAACAATTTGACACTTTGGGATCCCTCTCTGTCTCGGAGCTCAGGTCCTTCGAGGCACAAAGAGGGACAGCTCTGCCCAGAGAAGACAATGCTCTCTTGGAGGTTTTGCGCCTCTAAAGGCTGATCCTGGACACCCATGGGTGGCTTCGATTGTGCCCGCACTGCTGGCTCCTGACCCTTTCCCTCTTTGGGCGTCTCTGTTTCTAAATGAGTATTTACCTCTGCTAGTGCCTGTGTCAGAGCATCTATCCCTGCCCCTATCTCTGTGAAGGCAGCCGTAAAGTCCTGTGGTGGAGTCGCGATAATCCCAGTCCAGTCTGAGAGTGCACTTGCCCAGCTGTCCACGGATGACCACCTCTCAACCGGTGGCCCCCAACCTCTGGTGTCATCGCAGGACCAGCCAATCCCCTCGCAACCATCAAGGTTGTAACCTGACACTTGTGTCTCTCCTGGGGGAAAAGACAAGTCACTGGTGAGCCCTCCTTGCATCACAGAATATCTTGTCTTGTCCAAAAGGTTCCAGTCTTCTGTATCCTCACCTGCCAGATACTGGCATGCATCCAGCCACAGCTCGATAGGGCTGTGGCTTTGCCGTGGTTGGGGGGTTAAATCAATGGTCTCTGCATTCTCTCGCCTCGCATCATTTACCAGCATCAAGCCTGCCTCACAGGCATCCACAGCAGGTGGTCTCGCATGTTTGCTCACATCTGACTCATAGTCCAGCATAGCTCGTTCCTCACTGGAGCCGCGATGACATTGTGTCACCACGTTGTCTGAATCACACATCAGGAAATGTGTATCGCAGTCAGGTTTTTTTTCCCCTGTTTCCCCCGGCTGGTATTCAGGACATTGAAACTCCTGGGGATCTACGTGGGGGCTCGGGATGAAGTCCTGTGTCTCACTTTCAGAGATGTAAAGGTCTGACACAGGGGCTATAGCTGTATCACTCTCTAGACTATCCGACGGATGGGAAAACGACCTTAATAGATAAGTGTCTCGACTGTGTTCAGAGCTGGAGAGAGGCTCAGTGACAAATGGCTCCATCGAACCCTCTGAAGTAGATGACATGGCCCCAAAATGATGTGTACTATCTCCTTGTATGACAGAAAAGGAGAGCACTGGTTCTTGTTTAACGTGAAACTCTGAAAAAGATTCAGATAGAGTGGAAATAAGGTCATGAGAGAAGTGAGGTAAACGAGGTAATACAGGTGCTGATGAGCCAAAATAGCTACAAACCCTGAAACCATCATTCTTTGGTGCAGGCTTGGAGCAAAGTGATAAACACTCTGACATATTATAGCTGGATGATGATGATGATGATGAAGGCTTCAGACAGTCTGATTGGGTACTTCTCTCCTGGGCGAGGCATTTGGAAACGTTTGATAGAGGCCCATTGGATTTGTCTTTGGGGTCTGAGACATCTGACTCTGCTCCTGTCTCGTATGCAGACAGCATGTTTTCTGTGGGACTTCGGGACTTCTAGTTGTGCTGCTGAAGGAGGTTGTCAGCAGAAAGACTCGGGCCAAGTTTTGGGAAGAATTGTATTAAGTTCTGCGCACAGATTGTTTGTGCCCGCTTTTCTGGTGTCATTTCCTCCCCTCGGTCCAACTATATCCTTAGGTCCACAGATTCAGTACCTGCAAAGTAAAGTCAGAGCGTTAGATAATCTCTGACCTGAGGCTCCTGTGTATATAAACCTCCCTGATTTGAAGTCTGTGAAGTAAAGCGCACTATCTCACTCTAATCTTAGTTGCGGGAGATGCCACTTTAAATGACTATTTTGGAAGCTTTTAAAGGACACTTGACATACCTTATCAACACGACACCTTATTGTTGTTGTTACTTTATAGCTGACAAAAACGTCTGGTGTGACAGTGAGGGAATTATTGAAAAGTGATATTGATCTTTTACACAATCCTGTTCACTCACTATTTGCTATTTACAAGATTAAAAACACACAAGAATATTGAGTCACAAGCCCGTAGAGCTGCAAGTAGTTACATACTGAGGGAATTGTTAAGAATCGCTGGTATCACTCATTAGTTCAAAGGTCGTACATTTCGGTAAGAAATGTGGTCAAGAAGGTGTTTTAAAGTTGTTGTCAAATTGGAAGAATTTCCATCTTAAAATGTTGACACACTTGATGAATAATGATTTTTAATTTGTTATTTTTGAGATTAAAGCTGCATTTATTCAGAGACTTAAGGTGACTGTAAAAGCATAGCTGTGTCTTTAAAGTCTTAAAATCACCCGTGTTGCCCACTACTGGCCACCTGACATAGAGGCCTGCTGTGAAGTGTTGAAGGGGGAATCTTCAAAACACGCTCCCTGATATACAAGATTGCAGGAGGGAGAACTAGTGGCACAGACGCTGGAAAAATACCAGCACATCTTCACCCATGACCTGCATTTGTGACATTCCTGCTGCAGTGAAGGACACCTAGCCCAGAACCCAAGCCTGAGATGTTGACTATGCTATACACACCCTAACTTTAGATAGTCTATTGACAAACAACCTTCAATATAAAAATAATTCACACATTTCAGGCAGAAAAACACAAGAAAACAGTGACAAAATCCTAATCTTAAAGATTGCTTTCCTTAAATTATTGCAATCAGTTTGAGACACCACAAACACATTCAATACACTGACTCCATATTTAAATTTAATTATGGCATGCATATTAATAGTCCCATGTATCTTAGTCGAATCAGAAATCAGTATTGTTGGTGTGGTTGACTAGTGGATTAGATAGGACTTGATCTGTACCGACATTAAAAAAACAATAAAGCTGTCGGCACCTGTGTGACTGAGAGCAGGAAAGTATAATCCACATTCATCTTGACTGCTGGTGCCAAAATAGATTCATCCTCTGTCACACAACACCCCCAAGAGCCCGCTACAGCTTTAAAGCTTCTGTATGTGAGCGACATGCATGAAAGACGTGAGCTCGAGTGAATTAGGAACGCAGTTTTAAAAATATTAATAACACGTGCCGCCTCAAAACATCACACCAACGGCTACAAAGGAGCAGAGGACTGACCAAATATTCAACACACTTGTAAAGCACTTCATGGATTTAATTCTGATGCCTGACAAAGTGGATCGTGTGAATCGTGCAGCACAGCAGAGTGTGTCAGCCTGTCAGCAGTGTGAGACGAAGCAGTTGTAATTGACGTTGACTTTTCCCAAAGGAAACCACAAACTAATGTCGAACATGTTGTTACCTCGCAGCTGAATCACACGTGATAAAAGTAATATCATTCCTTGAGGCATTAAAACAGTTGTCTCAGCCTGTGAGGGGGGATTTTCAGCCATGCATGCAGTACGTACCCTTGTCATAGCCCTGTGCTTGAGGATATAGACCTGTGATGTAGGACTTGAGCATGAGCTAGAGCCGGAGGTCTTGGGGTATGAGTCTATTTTTAACTGTTGTCCCCCACAAGTACAAAGTCAGTTACCTGATATTGGGGACATGTGCCGATCTTAAACATTTACCCTCAATATCTATATTTACAGGCTGTTTCAGTGCTGGCTTACTTTAGTTTGTAGACGAAAACTTGTGGGTGTTATTGAAATCTAATTACAGGATGTTTTTTGACTCATGGCAAGTGAGATAAATAATGGGAAACTTTAAGAAGCACATACTGGGGTAATAATGGTAAAGTAGACATCCTGTTTGTTTGTCCAACTCAAACCAGTATATAGAAGAGAAAAAATAAAATAGTAACAAACCGCTAATACAACATTAAACATAAGGTTGTTTGTTTTTTAATAAAAGGTTTCTTTTTTTTCAATGAAACATAAAAGAAAACACTCACTACTCGTTTTCTGACGGTTACTATCACCTTGTAGAAACGTTTGACATCAAGGGTCACATTTCTGGCAACATCAATGCCTCTCTAACTGCTTTGGCAAAGCAACAATGTGCTGTTGTCAGTGGCCAAAACAACCTAATGAGGACAGACTTTTTTTTGGCTCTTCAATTACCTCACAGTGGTGTGACGGTAATTAAATGTGACTTTGCCTCTCATTCAGCCAAATTACTCATCTCATAGTGGACAGAAACGAATCCCTAATGACACAAATGGCAGGTCAGTTTTTAATCATTTGAACAGCTAAATGATTCTAATTTATTGGAAAATTATAATCTGTTGTTTGTACTTGCAGGCAAGAAAACAATAATGCTGGTTTCCAAGTTTCCAGACTCCATAGATACTTTATTTAAAAAGGGTTTACTTTCAGTGGAGTCATGTGACGATGCTTTGATTCTGACGTTTAAAGGAATAGTTGGACATTTTGCTTTCTTGCCGAGAGTTAGATGAGAGAAATGACACCACCGTCATGTCTGTATGCTACTTTTAAAGCTACAGCCAAAAGACTGTTAGCTAGCTTAGCATATTATTATTAACATATTTCACAAAATGTCGTATTATTTGTTTAAGTTCTGGAGCACCAACTTGAAACCTTAAAAAAAGGTAGCAGGCTGTTTAGGTGTCCACAGAGTTGTGCATTCAAAATAATAACTTTTCACCCAGCAACTTTTAAAGCAGCGTCTTGATACACGAAACACCACTCATTATCTGGTGTATGTAATTACACGTTAGACAACTTTAAATCTCTAAATCTTTACTTCTTGGTGAGTCTGTTTAATTATTTGGGGGAATTTTCTCAAGCTCCTAAACATTACTGTCTTTGACTTCATGCCTTGCGATTCTCTTCCTACTTTTGTTTACATTTGAGGAAACCCTAGATGTTGGTCTCTTTTGGTTGTATGCAGTTTTTTCAGAAAGCCACTTACATAATGTTGTTTCATAATGACAGTGAAGGACAGTTTTATAACCAAGAGTAATGTATGGCTCTTACATCATTGTTTCTGTGACAGTTTGGGGGACGGATACTTTTACAGCTTTTAAATCACCACACTGTAAATAGTGGTTTAACAATAGAGACCCCCCCACAATAAAAGAGCAATGTCTTGAGTCTCATTTAAAAAAATAAACTTTTTGTGGTTATCTTTAGCTACTACTACTGCAACCCTATAATTAATTTGGCAAAGCAATGTATGAAGTCACTTTTGTTAGTTACACACACACACACACAGACTACGAAGGGCTGCATTACGAGCACAATAAACAGAAGAGGATGAGGACACAAACCATTCAAATGATATGTCCTTTTGCTCTTTTCGTGTCATTATGTAACACTTGTGTCCGCGCACCTGTTCTTATGGTGACTTGTAAATCTACTAAGCAACAGAGGGAACATTATTGGACTATGCGTGTGGGGGTTGTGTATTAATTTGAACCTACTGGGATTTTTCTCTTTTGAAAAAATATTTCACGGCAGCTTTATTACTTAATAAATAAAATAAAAAATTGATAAATAAAGGAGAGCAATGTGATCAAACCATTAAAATAAAGCTTTGCTCATAATGTGTCACATCACCTGACAGACTATTACACCAGTAATCACCCAGCAGCACTTAGACAGGTCTTTTGTAAGGTACAGAGTTGATATATAGCTATTATGAGATAAGTGCAAGTGTGTGCATGGATGTGCTTCTCAGAAGAAACACATTTACGCTCTCTGCAAGAAACCGCTGATGGGTTGAGATGGCGGATGGACTTTTGGGCAACAAATCATTGAACAAAATTAAAAAATAACCACTTCCTGTATTCTGCGGCTGGGTACAACAGTATGTTATATCTTTTAAAAACAGGTAAATATGTAATAACACAATGTAAAACGCATCTGGCCATATATCATGTATATAAAGCAGTATCTCAGCCATGGTGAGTATTTCTTGAACTATTAGCATACTCATTTTTTCCTTCTTCAAAACAGTGTTTTTAATCATTTGAAACAGTCTCAGACATGTTACACCATCTTGAGCATGTTGTTTTGGGGATTTGGATTGGACGTGGCCCCGTGGACTCTTGTAGTCATGGTGAGAGAAGTGTCATCTTACCAAAGCAAGGTATATTTTTACACCATGTTGTTGCACAGTCTGCCTCAGCCTGGCGTCTGCCCTCCTTCCCTGAACTTCCTGCAAGGACCAGGTGGAGAACGGTGTGCATCACAACCACGTTTTGTTTGTCTGGCTGCGTGAGAGAGTCAGCTAAAGCGTGCTTTTCCAGTACCAATTAGGGCAGCAGTGCCAGAGCAGGCAAATTATAGATATGATACACATCTTCACAGCCAAAGCATTATGAGAGAAATAACAAACCATCTTTATCTACAGTCTCTTAGAACATAGTAGTCTTGACTTAACTAGTAAATTAAACATGATTGAAATAAGTACAAGCTGAAACTGTAAATTTGACAAAATTACCGGTGAAAGTCACCACATAAAATCTTAGTTTCTGTGTGAGCAGAAGAGATAAACAGCTGCAGAAGGATCAAGGTATTTCTTTGAGGCTGTACACGACGCATTACTCAACTTAATGCAATGTACATCAGAGTACATGCCCTGCATAACTCAAGTGCTACGATGGAAACGTAGCGGCGCGTTAATGCGTCATAAAAAACTGAAAACCTTTGTTATGAGCTCATCG